AGGTTGTTGACGTGAAATTGAGTTAATCGAACAGGTGTAACGTTTGTAAATGAGAGCATCCTAGTTGTGCAGCTGATCATATAATTTTATTGTGATCTGTACCCTGTAACCTGTTTGTCATGATCGTCCCATCCGGTATGAACTATCAGTGCTCCAACCTCACTGATAGATGCAAGCTTTCACACTGTGCTATGGCAACAATCGAATTATATCCATTTTTGGGATGCAATCTGAGATCAGTGGCGCTGACATTCCGTGAAGGATCTCCAAGACGTGTATGACTGCTGTATAACAGGCGAGAAGGAACGAGATGCGTCAAGCAAACCTATTTGGAAGTCACTGAAACTGAAGGAATCAACTTATCGTGATATGACACTTAACAAATGATTGATGAAGTGTATGTCTTTCAGTTTTAGAGGATATTCAAAGACCTGTTTCATTTCTTAGCTTTTCTACTAAGCACACTGCGTGTGTTGCTACCGAAATAATGCATCATTTGCAGTATTACTTCCTACTGACCGTGTTTGCAGAGTCCATCGATTGCTAAATTGCGTCACTGCGATAAAAAACGAAACCAAGTGTTATCTGCTAAATGAACGGGAAAAGCTGCATTTATTGTAGTGGGACAGGAAGGAAAAGGAAAGTTTCTCACCGTTGGAATGTCAGTCTTCCTCAGCACTTTGATAATGTAGTCGTTTCTGGTGCCCTTTTCATGAAGTTAATGCTGGATTCTGATCTTTATTTTCATGCAGTCAGTCAGGAGTTTCCTATTTTAAAGGCACAGTCGACTGCAGCTATTTGGCAATCATATTACGTAGTCTTCTGTTTCCTTTCTTCAAAGTGATACTCATTTATTAGCCTTAGAAGAAAGAAACGCGAGTAACTCGACCGGTGCTGGCAGTCGGAACCTCGCGGTTCTGAGTTGGACATTCTTCTGACTAAGCCACTTCGATGGCTAGTGCGAATGAACTCTGCAAGCAGTATGACGGTCGCTGTAGGCATAGGAATTTTATCTGCATCGCGTGACTTTCTGAAATAGTACGAGACTCGCTTCAGAAGTTGGAATGAGTTTTCTACGAAGTGAATGGGAGCTGCTAG